CTAAGAACTCTTCTTGGGTGCTGCGGCGTCAGTTTGCTCGACCTCGGCCGGAAGAATAGCCGGAGTCGTGTCAGGGGCAACCTCTGGGGAATCGCCATCATCAATCGGTCCAGGCTCCTCTTCAAGGGTCCCATCCAGCGTTGTCGGCTTGAAGTCACCATTATCAATTGACGCGGGGTCATGTCCACGTCCACTGTTGCTCGCCGAAACGCCAATGGCCGGGGCACCTCCTTCAGCAATCTTTTGCTTAGTCTCCCGGATGATCTTTTCGGACTCGCTGACCTTGGCTGGGTTCGGCGGAGGGCGCTCAATTCCAATGGCGTTCTCCTTGTCATTCTGACTCTCTAACAAAGCTTCTTTGTCGAGACGAACAATCATGCAGGACAAGTTGTCTGTACTGAAGCGATTCAGGGCATGATCAACGAGAAGCTTCGATGCCTCAACCGGGTCCTCAATATTGCGAACAAGGTCTACAGCCTCTTGATCAGAACAGACATCCCAAAGCTAGAATACAAATTAGCCATATTTCACTGCTTTGATAGCACCACACTTACTCCATCGCAAGCAATAATCATAAATTCGTCACTCTCGGGCTGAATGACGGTTTCGGTCGTATACGGGTGTCCAGTGACGAGATCCTTCATATAGGTGTCGCCCAGAGCTCTCGTTACGGCCAAAACACCATTAACACGGTTGTTGAGTATCAAACCGCCGGCGTTCGCTATCCGTTTTCCTTCATTTTCATCGCTGCCCTTATGGTCATACGAAAGGCGAAGCGCTTTACCGCCGCGGCAGAGTATGATACGGGCATCGCCAACATTAGCCGTGTAGAGGACGCGCTGGCGGCTTGCTGCGCTTTTCAGTTTGGCATGGGTAGCCTCAGGACCACTTGACGCCGCCTTGTCGTCTGCCGTTTCTTCGGACGTCAGCTTGGCAGCCTTCGTGGCTGCTGCAGTAGCTGGTGCAATAGCCTGAGAACCGGTTGCCGAGCGGTCACTCGGAACCCGTTCCTCCCAACGCAGCACGGCGACGGCAGCTGTGCATCCACTGTTCTTAAGAGGGAGCTTTTCCAACTGTGCGTCGACAGAAGTAAACGTTTGGTCGAGGAGTTCGGGAATGGGGCCGTTGGGATTCTTTCGGATTATTTCCTCCAGTATGATGTGAAGCTTCTTGCCACACCAGTCGGCAGCAAAGGTGCCAGCGTGACCATCAAAGATGGCAAAGTATCCATTGTCCGTTTCAACCATCTCTTGAGAGGAGGCATCTTTATCTTCAGACACGGAGTCGCTCTTTTTACCATCAATTGCAGGGGCTGGGGTATGCAAAAAGTTGTAGAGGAAGGCATGTGTGTCTTCCATGGTGCGGCGGCACTTTTTGTTCCTATCTTCCCAGACACCGACACGGAAAGTCGAACGCGGGCCCGGAATTGAATCGCCGGCTGAGTTGTTGTGCTGGCCTTGCGGCACAGCGAGAGCAGGGTCCTGCTTACCCAGCTTCTGGAGAGGAGTCTGCGAGCTCACATCCGAGTTGGATCGGCCGACCTGAGAAAAGTTCAGGGTATTCTTGGCATGGGCCAGCAGGCCCGCGGCCTTACTCTGAACACCGCTGGCACGGCGCTTCTTATCCGCAGCGCCATCCTGCTGCCGTCCGGGGGGACTGCTGTTTCCGCTTCGCTTGTCGCCGCTGGCAGCCTGGTCGTTCGACTTAAGGGAGGCTGAGGCGCCCTTGTCAGATTCGGGCGAAGGCGACTTGCGGTCCTCTTTTGGGTCGCTCTCCGCCTTGGACGCAGCCGAGTTAGAGCCGCCGCCGAACATTCTAGTCAGCAGACCACTCCCCTGGTTGGAGAGGCTGCGACGCTTGCTTCCTGCCAGTTTAAAGAACCTCGAAAAGACGTCAGAGGTACCGGTCCGCACGCAGGGTCAATCGAATTCGATGGGGTCGCAGTGAAGCTGTCTTCGTGGGATTCGTTTGGGACGTCGGACGAAGGAATGTCGCGAAGATGTATGTCTGATAAAGGTATCGTCAGTATTAGGCGAAGAAGTTGGAAGAAACGGTCGTCGGGCCCATGGAGGGGCAGAATGGTCCGAGGCCGACCGGGGGCTAGGCAGAGGGTCGGGTCCGAGCTGAGGAGGATTGATGCATAAGACGAAAAGAGCCAAGAAAGGAAGAGACGCTGGTCTCTGAGCGGCAGGCGGTATGGTGACCAAGTGCGCCAGCTAGTTGCTATGTGACTGACGTATAATATCAAGATGGCGCTGCGGGTATGTGCTCTGCGAGATTCGTAGCGCAACCAGATGCCCAAAGAGTGCTGCGCGCAGCCCGCAAGAAAAAGGATTTGATGAAGATACGGGAACAAGCAGATATCAATAGCGGGATGTATGATGTTTGTGTGTTCAGCTGGCCTGGGGTGACAAGTGACGTAGGCTGGCTGAATGATGGTGGAGGGGAAAGCAGAAGGGTAGAAGCAGCAGTAACTCACCAGAGTGACGTACCCAGCGATTCGGAGTGCCGGGACGACGTGTTGGGAGCTGGATATTGATGGCAGAGCAGAGACGCTGAGGGCGCAGTTTGAAGATTGCCGGGCGTGATGGCAAAGGCTGCAATATCGTCTAGAAGGGGAGGGGATGGGAGGTTGTTGGTGTTGTGTGAACAAGGTAGAGTAATGATGGTAGGCGGCAGAGAGAAAGAGAGTTGAGGTTGTGGAAAGGCGATGCGAAATGCTGCCCGCTTGGTGCTGGCTCGCTCGTTTGGTCAGTGTCTCCGCAGCAGCCTAGGAGGGGGAGGGGAGGGGTACAGGGGGGGCAGAGGCCAGAGTTGGCTGGTTTGGAGGGGACCGGGAAGGGGGGAAGGTGAAAAGCGAAAGCGGCGGGAACGATTCATAGGGTCTCCGTCCTTCTTAGCGGCGCTTACCTGCTCTCCGCTCTCCGTTATGGGGCCTATCTTTGCTGGTCTACCCTGGCCTAAGCTTCTCACTCTTGTTCTCACCACTCAAGTCCCTATATAGGTATTGCAACAGCTTAAGAAAGTCTGAGTCTTAATGTTTTTTAACACCTTAAATACTTATGGAGGGTGAGCTAGATGAGCAGCTAGGTAAGTTGACAGCCACAGCGCTTAATATTGAAGAAGGGGAAATGTAGAGTTGTGTGACCACACAGTCGGCGGCGGCGCAAGTTGTGCACCTCAGCACCTCAGTGATGGACAACACCAACTGGGGGGCGCGAACTCCACTCGGGCTGTGATGTACACAGTAGTGTACTGCCGCCTGCGTTGTCAAGTCTCACTTGAGGCGGTGATGACCTGCGTCAGGTCGGGAGGTGAGGCGAGACGAAGCGAGGCGAGTGTCTGTGTGTGTGTGTGTGTGTGGCGTCCGACGGGAAACTGGATCTGAATCTGGATTCCACCAGCCAAGAACCAAAGGGCACGCCGGGAGTTTCGACTGTTCTTGTGAGATGTGTCTGATGTTTGGATAATAGTTCTTGGCTAAACTGACGGGCATATGCTTTGGAGTATCTGCAGGGACAGAGAGGGAATTGGATAGAGCAATATGAGCACTAAGTTAGACTCATGCGCCCTTCGAACAAAGAATCTTCCCACTGTCTCTCGCTACCTACCTATTCATCTATCTCTGTCCGCAGTGACGAGTGTGGTCTCGATCTTGGAGTGGAAAACTGACCTCACTCCAACACCCACCCAATGGAAATGCTAGATCAAAATCGGCGGTTCTCTCGCCGATCACCAGCGCCAAAGTACCGAATCACATTGCGTTCTCTTCATCCTGCTAGGTAAGCATCCGCAGCATTATCTTTTGAACGTCTTTCAAAGGCGAAACATGAACATAGTATCTGGATTTGCATGGTTGGGCGTCCCATGTAACGCATAAACGAACAGGTTTAACATGGGCTTCCAGTCATGCCGCACGCGAGGAACACATTGCCATTGCGTTCCTCAATGCGCATATGCCATTTCGGAGGCCCGATAGATAGTATTGAACAGAACCTAGCACGCTGGCTGTAGTGTAAGATGACCCTCGGCCGAAAGCCAATATGTGCGGCTAAGCTACTCCGTACCCTGACCCAAATCTAGACTATGGTGAAAGCTGCCCAAAGCGCAAGTTGCTATGGCAAGAGAAAGCCATCATAAGCTTTTTTACACCATGAACAAAGATGGCCTATAATGACCTTGCGTGGTTTCTATATACCTCGATAATATGGATCAAGAGCGGATCTGCTTTTGCTGGTCACGACGTGTTGGCGTGACAGCTCAGCTGGCATATAAACCCTGCCGATCAAGCGGGGCGTGTAAGGGTACCTGCTTAAGCTATCGATCATGTATCGTTCGACATCCTTCTCCATGGAACCTCATACGCACAATCATACAAACAACCTGTTGTTCCGAGGATTGGGGTCCATCAAGGGTCCATCTCGCTGGGTTGGGCTGGCCTGGAATATGTAGATTACCTTGGAGATATCCCGTGGCCCACATGTGCTTGTACAACATTACACTAACAGATTCGCTGACTCGGGCCATCAGTGCCGCCGACATGGCATTCTGCGAGTGGTAGGTTTGTGTGATTGTTATGATGCAATAACTTGCCTGGACCCTCACCTTCGCCCCGACAACTCATTATCAGTTATCTTGCATGTCAGATGTTTTGGACACAACTATGTGCGCCAGAGAAACCATGAACGACCCGCAGGCATAAACAATCAGTCAACCATTTTCCCCGCACTGGAAGGAATACGCCCACTGGCTGCAGACGAACAACGCAATGTTTCAATGCCATCTCCCGAAAAGCAATCCACGGCTCGGTCACGGCAACTCCCACTGAAGTAGACGTATTGCATATTTAGAAGCCTTGCTTGAGAAAAAGTTCGCCTTCCCTTATCCTGGAACGCCGTTCCATATGTGACAAAACAAACTGGCTGCTCCGTTACCTCCCTCATACATCGCTGTCGTCCGCAAAATATCGTCATCACTCCACCAACCCTCCATTACTGTGACTACCGCCGAAGACTGTCGAGGCGGGCCTGAAGGTCGTCGTCGCCGGGATCCGCACCTCCGCCTCCACCTCCTCCAACTGCCTGGGCAATTCTGCCTTCGGGTACGGCCGTGGTTTGCATCCCAGATGGTGTTTCGCCCAGCTACACAACCCATCGTTAGCCAGTGAGTCACCAATGCCTGGATGTAAGTACTTACCGCTGATGTCAAGTCAACTCCGATTTCTTCCAGGACTTGCTCGACAACTTCCTCGCCTTCCTCCTCGGCACCAACATCCATGGCATCATCCATAACGTCATCCATCATCTCCTGTCTCTGATCCATAATGTCGTTCTCGCGCTCGAACTCCATTGCGATGCGTTGAAGAGCGGGAAGGTTCATCGATCGGTTCATGGTGCCGAGAGCTTGGGTTGCGCCCTTCATGGCCGTCATCATTTGTTCGTTGGTGCGGTATGTCTGTGAGATCAAGTGTCAGCCAAAGTTTACGAGCCCGAGTGACCGACCGGTTGCGTAGTACCTGAAGCCGGAGAGAGATCTTTTGCAGTTGACTGCGCATGCCGTAGAACTTCTCGATGTACCTGCAACAACAGTTAGCCGAGTTGTGCATCGTATGTCCCTCAAATTCATGACTCCATGCCTTCTTGTCCGGACCAAATCCTTGGCTTGGATCTTGCAGGCGCCCATCTGTCCCTTCTGAGCGCTTTGCTTGATCTGGGTAATCAACTGCTTCTCCTGCTTCTCCAACTTGGTTCGGACCTGATCCAATTCTCTGATCGCCTTATCAAGCATGCGCTGGTTCTTGCGTAGACGCTCCGCTGGCGTCATTCGCTTGCCGAACGCCCATTCCAGAATCTAAGTCACAGGGTCAGTAGTCGGTCAAGCCATGGCGGGGAAAGGTGCGCGCAGCATACGTTCATCGTGGCGGCTGGGGACAATCGTTTCGGAGCGGATGAAGCGTCGTTTTTCGAAATGGCAACGGCGAGGCAACCAAGAGATCGATGGTAGCGATTGTGTAGCTATCGCGAAGAGGAGTTGATAGTGGAGGTTGATTGATATTCGGGTTGCCTGGCACTCACGTAACGGACAAGGGTACGTACAACAGCTTGGCACGGCGTCAGGTAACTTCCAAGGAAACCACTGGTGAGTGGTGACTGACTGACTGCTCAGACCGGTTGCGCTGACCCGCTGAAAGGTCCGACCAGGTTCCAACTTCCCACCTGGGGTGAATGATTAGATAAGGGATGGAAGCGTGGCAGCCCGGCCTCGGATGGCGGCGGCATTTTCCGACTTGAAGTTTTGAGCCAATGGGCGAAGCGCCGCGACAAAGGGTGGTGGGAAATTTGCCGCTCCGCCCAAAATCATGCGCTGGGAGTTCCATTCATGTACGGAGTACATGACGAGCTTCCCTAAAAAACATTCTCGGGCCTGCTACGCTAAAACTTTGTCGCCTCCCAAACAAATCCCCTTTCTTCCCGTCCTTGAAATCAACTTATTGTTTCTCGACCATGCTGCTTCAACCCTCGACCGACTGAAAATGAGCCAAGATTATTTTTCAAAGAAGGGCAAGGCCCCCATGGACCAAGAGATTGAGAAGGACGACAACGACGCGCCTTACCAACCAGTGCCGTCATCGAGCAGGCCACCGCAATTCATGACCGTTGGATCCGGCTCCACCTCTGCACATGCAGCGCATCTCCAGTCACTCCTCGAAAACGACTCTGGCTACGGCGGCAGCATCGCAGACGGCGACGCCATGACATCCTCTGGCGACCGACATATCCCGACTCCTGTCAATGGCCAGCTCTCCGAAGCTGACCGGCGCAGCCAGGCCGGCGCTATCCACCAGCTGTGGTACAATGCCCACAGAGTGACGCTGGGTCGCTCCATCAACAAGGTCATTGAGCTCCTCAAGGAGTTGCAAGAGATGAACGTGTCCTGGCCAGCACACTATCCGTCTGTGCAGCGAGCCGAGGGAGCACGCCCTGCTCCGTCACATTCATATTCAACCATCGGCGAAGCCCCCACGTCCACTTCCGCCTCGTCCGTTCCGTCTTCCCCGACCGCTCCTCCATCTTTACGACGATCCTTCACATCGCTAGAAGCGCGCGAGAGTGCCGAGTCGAGCCGGGCGCAGGAAAGACGGGCGCCAGAAGAGCCACGACTCGTCACGCCTCAAATCGCTCAGGACTTTTCGGTCCTCAAACTGGACCTCAAGCTGGGCTCCCTTCACCAGGCAGAGCTTGTTCACTCCTTGGAGAAGGGCTCCATCGCCTCTCTTCTGGATGGCAAGATCAGCTCTAGCGTCCGACACCTACTCAACCTTCGCGAACGAATCGAAGATACTTCCAGCAAAGTCTTGATCACCGGTGATCTGAATGCCGGAAAGTCGACCTTCTGCAATGCTCTGCTTCGAAGAAAGGTTCTTCCTGAGGATCAACAACCTTGTACGGCAATCTTTTGCGAGGTTCTGGATGCAAGGGAGAATGGAGGCCTCGAGGAGGTGCATGCTGTTCACAAGGACGCTGACTATGACCGCCATAACGAGACCACATATGACGTTTACAAGCTGGCGCAGCTCGAGGAGCTCGTGGTGGACAACGAGAAATACACCCAGTGCAAGGTCTACGTCAAGGATGTACGAACCATTGACGAATCTCTGCTCAACAACGGCGTGGTGGATATTGCTTTGATCGATGCCCCGGGTCTCAACTCTGATACAACCAAAACGACGGCTGTTTTCGCCCGACAGGAGGAGATCGATGTCGTTGTCTTCGTAGTATCGGCTGCCAACCACTTTACCATGACGGCCAAGGAGTTCATCTGGGCAGCTGCCGCCGAGAAGGCGTACTTGTTCATCGTGGTGAACGGCTATGACAACATTAGAGACAAAAACAGATGTCAGAAGATGATTCTCGACCAGGTACACGGACTCAGCCCGAGAACGCACAAAGAATCCAATGAGCTGGTACATTTCGTCTCGAGTAATGCCGTTCCTACAGCTCCCGCGCCACCAGGCGGGCCGTCTGGTGGGGGCAGCGGCGGAGGCGGTGGCGACGACCCTGGCGACGACCCCAAGGGCAAGGGCAAGGACGTTGAGAAGATCCGAGACTTTGAGAACCTCGAGCAATCGTTGCGAAGATTCGTCCTTGAGAAGCGCGCCAGATCCAAGCTGGCACCGGCAAAGACTTATCTGCTCAACATTTTGAACGACGTTCACGTTCTTGCCAACGTCAACTCAGAGGTTGCAAACTCCGAACTTGACCGTGTCGTCAAGGAGCTCAAGGAGATTGAGCCCCAGCTCGAATCAAGCAGAAAGGCCACCGCGCAGGTTGGCGATGAGATTGACAAGATCACCGAAGGGACATGCAAGGAGGTTTACGACTACACGCGGACCACTCTCAGCACGGCTATTGATCATGCTGGGGACAACAATCACGGCGTTCCTTACCGGGGCATTTTCAATGCATTTGAGTACGCGGAAGAGCTGAAGGAAGCCATGATGTCCTACATCCATGAGTCGGTCGTTGCCTGCGAGGAACACGCAAAGACGAAGACGGTTGGTGGTGTGAACGCCATCAAGCAGCTCGGCATCATGCACCTTGGCGACGACTACCAGAGCCTAGTGTTCCGGCCTGACGTCATGTTCAAGAGAAAGCGCGACTCAATGGCGCGCAATGTCGACGTTCCCACTGAACTCTGGGATTTTGTCGACTGGCACACCATCGTCCAGAAGCAGGAGAAGGTGGCAGGCACAGGAATGGCTCTCACCGTTGCGGGAGCTCTCGTTCCTCGCATGATGGGTTCCAGCGGCTGGTTGGACCACGCGTTGAGCGCAGCGAAGATCGTAGGCAACGACAATTTGCGTCGCCTCATTGTCCCCGCCATCGTCGCAGCTTGTAAGTTTTCGAAATCTTTTCTTTGCTAGTAGCATTTGCAGCTAACATCAACCCCCTCGTCAGCGTTCGCCGCCGCCGCCTATATCCTCAACCAGATCCCCAACTCTCTGCCCCACCGGCTTTCCACCAAGATTGCGGCTCAGCTGGAGGCAGTCGACTATGTGCACACCAACTCGACGCGCATCTCGGGCTCAGTCCGCAAGGTTCTTCGCTTTCCCGCCGACAACCTCCGCGTCGGTCTCGAGCAGTCCGTCAAGGACCTCGGCAAGCGCCGCGAGGAGACGCTCAAGGTCCGCCAGGAGAGCGAGGTCGCACTCAAGTACTTTGGCAACCTCGTACGCAACAGCGCGCAGCAGAGGACTGTCGTCGAGGGCGTCGACCTGGATGCCCCGCCGCCGGGCGCCGTCGGTGCCGGCCTTCACTGAAAGAGAGAAAGAACAAAAAAAAGCAAAGGACAAGAAAAGAACAATACCCATCTCAATTCCTTCTTTAATGTGGCACAACTATACCTTACGATAGCATGGAAAAAACGGCGTTTCATTATCCGGTGATTCGAACACTGGGCCTCCCCCTCAATGTATACCTGAGTTTATATCCCTCCCCTTTCCCCTCGTGGGCTTTTTTGTTTTCTTTCAGAAAAGTGTGCTGTTGAGGACACATGACGATAGGCATATACGTAGACGCAAAAACAACCTAATTCTCGATATACTTGAACATTCTGAAACCGTGACCATGTTTGCAGATGGAGCTCTCCCTCTGAAGTTGAGTTTCGATAATAGCGTGCTCACCAGATACAAGCACTTACAGTATGTATGGGGGAGGGAACTCCAGTCCGAATGGAGAACATTAGCTTCAACTCGGGTGCCAATTCCGAATATGCATAGCAGCGGCGGCGGCGGCGGCGGCGGCAGATCTCTGCGCGGTTCCAAAGTCAAAAGCCACGGGAAGAGGATGAGGTTTACATTGTACCCCGTACGGGATTGTGTAATTTCCCTCCTTCCGCCGCTTGCTTATGTAGTGTATGAGCCGTTTGGGCCGTTTAACGCTGCCGAGGCCCCCCGGTTCGTGCCCGGAGCTGTAAACCGGAGCCAGCTAGCGCCGGCGCGCCGCTCCCTTCCCCCCTGAGATGGCTTCGTCTTTTTTTTTTCTTCTTTTTTTTTCACTCGGTAATGCGGATAACTTTATCGAAGAATATCTAAAATTGAACTCAACAGCAGAGGTGGACCCTGTAGGTATCCGTTACTTAAGGTATCTGTAGCTCCTGGGTGGTGGGATGGAAGTCCCCATGGTTTGATCCGTTGAAGAATTTAGATGAACACCTCGATTTACGAGATACTGAGGGGTTTGTCTATGGACACATGGATGAATGTTCGTTCGAGTGACGAGTTCATCCAACTTGCAATGAACGAAGACGACATGCCGGGGACCTCAAGCACTCGCTCCGCTTTGACCGCGCTGCTCCAAGTGATGAAATTTATGCATCACCGGACTTGCATGAGAGGGCGGGGGGATATGCACGCTGCATGTTGCCCGCTTGCATATTGTACTCCGTACCTTACCTTCTACTGCACGCTAGGAGCTGCAGGCACTTTATCTGAGGTTTGAGAGGTCTAACCTTTAGAACAGTACTGCAAAGCTTCCCGGTACTGCTGGAGCTGGGACTTTCTGAGAGTCGAGGTCCGCAATACTTCTGCCAGATTTGCAGCGTGATGGGACGAGAGAGATCGGAGGTTAATATGAGCTGCATCGTCCGAAACAATGACAAATGCTACCGGGGACGGATAAGATGGACTTGCAGAGGAGGACCCCAACCGTCGCCCCTCTTTTTTGCGGAACACCCGAACTTCTAGGAAGATGCATAGCGAATCTAGTAGACGTGGGAAACGAGTCCGAGAAGAGACGGTTTGTGAGAGACCCACGCGTTCGAACGGCTGGTACGGGGACCGGTCTCTGGGCAGTGGGAGGAAACGACAGCGAGAAATTGTGGTGAGAGATTATTCTCAAGCTCGGGGGGAACGGCT